ACTCTACAAGGTGCTGTGCTGCTGACACATATAATGCGTCCATGTTGGGCCTAGGATGATCACCTGTCTAGCAGGCACCTGGATTACTCAGGCTCTGGATGAGATGGGCTGGCTGAAGACAGGACAGGCTTGAGTCTGTGTGTGTGGGGGGGGCACTGGGGTGGAGCTAGGTTTCTGGCTCTTCTCTGGAGAGGAGGGGAGGCCTGCAGTGGGGTCTAGGTGGACCACACAGGATGTATGGGCAAGGGAAGGGGCATTTTTCTTGGCTGCTAGGCATACGCATCTCTCCCTGCAGCATGGTTTCAATCACCCTGACAGCAAAACCTCAAGCTTCAAATCTGGCCCGAGGATGCTTTGTTTTTCTTGCTAATCAAGACTCTTGCTTTTGGCTCATGGTAACACAGATTTCAGCAGCCACAGCTAAAAAGGTTGGTAGGAGCTCCTCCAAGGCATCAGGTTAAGGTCTCTATGAGAACCGAGCAAGGTAAATGAGAACTAATCCCTGGGAAGCAGGACTTGCTGGGAAGAGGGGCCAAGTGTCCTTCAGCATCCTCTGAGACAGGTCATGAGATGTTTGATACTCTGCCATCCTTAAGTAACTGTAAACCCAGGAGGAGTTGAGAGTATGTATGAGCTGAACTGGGGCCTCAAACTCCCTGCCTTGGCATTCTGGATCTGGAGGGCAGGCGCACATCTGGATCTGGGTCCTGCCTTGGGCAGGTCTTGGCTCCCAATGATGATGATGCTTCAGGGACCAGAAAGGAGCTCATTGCTGAGCAGACTGATAGATAGAAGCTGCTCCTGTTTCAAGCCTTGTCACAGAGAGAGAATGCACTGAAACCACCATGTATCCACTTGGTGACTCTCAAAATGTATTTTGTTTCCCCCCAGAGTTCTCATGAAACACTGCCTGCACATTTAAGCAGTTCCTGCTTCTGTAGCCAAGCAAGCAAAGCAGCCAGAGAGCAACAGCTTCCAGGCTTCACTTAGCAAGAAAATTTCCTTTGGTGTTTTAACAATGGATTCAGTTACTAGAAACCCAAACGGAAGGTTAAAGACCCCTGCTAACACTGTTCTTCACCTTGTGGGCCCCTGCCGCAGGGCTGGCCACACACACTCTTTTTCTTGGGACAAACTGAGGTTTCTGAAGTGTGACTCAGGCTAGAGAAAGGATCTAGGCAGGAGGACAAGGCTTCTAATTGGGTTTCACCTTGGGAGAGGAAGTTCCAAACTTCAATCTGGCAGCTTTTGTGACCTGCTGCCAAGTTAGGTCCCTAGATCTCTTATTCACTCACCTCCCCTACCTGGATTTGCCTGTTTCATAGCTTCTGTGGGACTCCAAAGCCCAGCACCAAACGTCTTCCTAAGGGCAGGGGCCCGTGTTCAGCTCTAAGTCAATGGTGATCACCCTGAATCCCAAACATACCCACTACCCAGTACTGGGGGCTGCACTCAGAGCCTGTACCTGCCAAGACAAGGCTCTGCCAATGAGTCACCACTCAGCCATTTTCTGAGACGTGACCCCACTAAGCTGCACAGGATGGCCTTGAACTCGCTCTGTGTGTAGCACAGGTGGTCTAGAACTTTTTGCTTCTCCTGCCCCAGCCTCCCAATATGATAAGGCTTACACTGCCAGGCACTCCCCAAAATGTAACATCTCTACAGCTGTGTGGAGCCTGCTTTTTCCTTGTGGGTACCATGTTGCTCTTCGGTGCTGAAAGCCACCAAGAGAAATCAGTGCAGTTCAGCCCAAGATCTCTGTTCTCACTGCTCCCTGACTTTCAGCCGTTCCCCATCAGCCTGGCTACTGTCGTGTCTGCCCAGTGTCTTCTCACTTCTGGCGTCTCAGGCATCCACAGAAGCCTGGTGGATTCCATCAGTTTGAGTATTTCACTTTCTTCCCATATCAAAAGGAGCTGGTTCCCATCCAGAATGATGGCTATTCTCAAGACGGAATCTTCTTAGTTTTTTTTTTTTTTTTCTATGTTCTGTTTTAGCCACAATGAATAGAATTTGTTAACTTCTGGGGCTTCCCTGGAACGTTACCAAGCCCGTGTCAGCTGCCACTTCTCCCCTCCCCCCTTTACTGAGACCTCACTGCAGTCTGAGGCTTCATGCATGCCACGTGTAAACAAAGGTACCGGCATTGAAATTGACTCCAGACTGAGTCCCTGGTGCAGACGCCTTGTGTACCTGTTATGTATGAACACACACACTCTGTGCTCCCTGGCCTAGACCTGGCCACTTCTGGCCCTTACAGCTTTGGTTTTCCGCACTCATCTTTGTAAGTAGGTGCAGGATGGGCGATACATTTGGCCCAAGAAGGGCTCACCTGCTCCCCTAGTCCCCACCTATTTTAGATTTTGTTGGAAGCAAAACAAATCGCTAGGATGGAGGACAGCGTCAAGTTAATTTCTGCTAGCTGAAAAAGACAATTCACAGCAGGTGGTGGTGCACACCCTTAACCCCAGCAGAGGCAAGCAGAGCTCTGAGTTTGAGGCCAGCCTGGTTTACAAAGTGAGTTCCAGGACAGCCAGGACTCACAAAGAAACCTTGTCTTGAAAAACAAACAAGAAAGAAGGAAGGAAGGAAAGAAAGAAAGGAAGGAAGGAAGGAAAAGAAAAAAAATGAAAAAGGCGTTTCACTTTTTTTAACTTGGGAAAAATGAGAAAGGTATAGCCTTTCAAGGAAACAGGGTACTTACACACACACACACACACGGGGGGGGGGGAGGGGGCTGGCTTTATGTAGTTCAATCCTGTCAAGCTATTCTAACTTTATGTGACAGAGCAGCAGACCTAGTAGATCAAGAGGGTGACAATAGCTGGAATTCGTCTTTGTCAGCTTTGAAACTTGATTTCTGAGTCCTACTCATGATAATCCTTAAACTAGTTGAGAAGTTAGGGAAGACAGGGCCAGTGCTGGCTAGAGTGAACAGGCCAGACAACAGTAAACTGTGGGGAGGGGGAGCAAAGGGACCGGCCTTGTGAACACAGAAGTGAGCAACAGAAGCATGGGGGGGTGGGGCGCTAGAGCAGAGTCCGTGTGGAGGAAGAACGATCCACACCAGCCATTGCTTGCACATGTGTTAGGTGAAGACAAGGGCATGTACGGGTTTGTGGCTCTCAACCTGCTGTCAACAGTATCCCTTCCAGACTGGGTCAGTCACGGGAAAGACAGAATTAAGTCAGCCCAGGAGCAATTACACTGGGATGAGACATGGAAATGAAAGATAAAGTTATATGAATTAGGTTTATTAAACTTGGAGATGGACCACTCTATAAGGGAAAGCAAAGAAAACTAGGAATAGATTTCAGCATATGAGAACAAAATTAAATGTGACAAGGGTTTTCCTTGGCTTTAAGGCTGATCAACAAACTATCAATCAGCAGAAATTTCCCAGGCTGGTTTTGTATACCCTAGGCCCCGATAACCTGAGAACAGCCGCCCCGCCCCAACATTGTGGGAAGACTACTTCAAAGGGCTTATTAAGTCCATAATCCAAAATTAAGCAGCAGCTGGCCAATTTACTGTCACAATGCCTCCAGGAGTAGCTGGCTGTCATTCCTAAAGAGAAGTCTGGCCTGGGGTGGTGGCGCATGCCTTTAATCCCAGCAGAGGTAGATGACCTATGTGAGTTCCAGGACTGCCAGGTTGGGCTGCACAGAGAAACACTGTCTCGAAGAGAGAGACCTATCCAGAAGGTGGGGCCCTGAACAGTGAGACACCCACACTAACACAGGCAGGAGGTTTCCTTCTCCTATTTGTAAGCAAGCTCTTAATGAAGTACCTGCTCCAGGCAGACGGTGACACTGAGGTTGGAGCACAGGAAACCCACCGAAGTGTGACCCCCTTCAAACATTTTTCTTTACGTAATTCAGGATAGGAGGGAAAAAACCCCACACTGCTTTCCTTTATAATGTGGTCGACAGCTAATAAGCACACAGCCAGTCACGTAAGTATTTAATTAGTCCTTTAGAAAACTTCCCGATTAGTAAAGGTAGGCTTATTTTGACAGCCTTAAACATTGGTCACTGTTTAAACAAGACACCCTAAAACAAACAAACAAAAGCAATCACGGAATAGTTCATAGTCATTTACAAGAGGATGGTGCACACGTGGACACAGAGGTAGAGATTCACTTTTACAATGTTTCACTAATGCACAGATACCAAATTCAAGGCACAAAATAGCTTGCTTTACAAAAAATACTGTAAAAATGCCATTTGCTGTCCTACAATGTGAATCGACCTTTCAAAGGAACCTGTAATACAATGGGATCGTTACAGCCATCCACAGCACTCCACACGAGATCTGCTCCCCACACTAATCAGAGTTGGCACAAACATGGGGACTTTTTAATGCAGAAATTCCCATTTTCCGAAACTGTCCTTAGAGCTGCTGTGTTCTGTAGACAAGGTCCCCTCCCCCAAATGCGACTCCACAGCTCCCTGAGGAAAGGGCCCTTTATGCAGCGAAATTCACAGGAAGAAAATGGACAGTCGTTTCAATGAACCAGGTCTCTAAACAGAGATCGAATTTAAAACTCACCTAATATCTTAGTTATCGTAAGTGTGTGTGAGAGAGAGAGACCCTCTGGCCTTCGCTGTGACATTCAGACTGCACTGATCTCAAACTGACATCAAAAACTCCTCTTAACAAGAGCTAAACCCACAGACGCCATGAGAAGCCACCCACCCTTGCATGAGTAGAACCCAGAACACACAACAAAATGTGGCAGTGCCAGTCCTTGAACGCACAAAGGCGCCAGCTGGCTAGACTTTCACAATGACGAATGAAGGAATGAATGGGTTCTGTGGGAATTCGGAAGGACCATACACAGGAAACACACTGGAGTCATCATTTCTAGACTTCCTTGTTCATTACAAAAATAATGATGTCACACAGTGCTTGTCTAAATACTGGACTCATTTTTGGGGCCTTGTCTAAAAAAGTCCCCATTGGCAGAAACCCAAGCTCACATTTTTCCAGCACTCTAGTCAGTTAATTTACATTTTATTATTTTTTAAAAAGTTGGTTAGAAAAAAAAAAGTTGACACGGGGTTAGAATCCAGAGACCGTCAGCACTGCTGATGTGCACAGACCGGACCATCCTGACCGACATGGCACTCCGTACAAAGCAGTCTTAGATTCCATTTTTTGCTTCATTATTGTTTGTGGCTTGTTTCCTTTGCGCGATGAAGGGGTACATACACTTGTCAGCTCCTAGAAATCGGTACATGCACACGACTGCTTCGAAAGGAAGGATGCTGCAAAGGAAAGGCACAGTGAGCAAATGGTGGGCCGTGGTCCCCTCGGCTGGGGCGGCCGGATGGAGGGGGAGCAGTTACCTCTTCATGAAGGTCACGATGTACATGAGGCGTGGGGTGCAGATCATGGGCTGGTCGGTAAGGATGGCCCGCATGGCCTGCTTCACACAGTAGTCGGGCTTCAGAGGGGGCAGGAAGGGCTCGATCTCTTTTCTGGAATTTATATTCAAAAATGAAATTCACAATTAACACGACTTGGAAGACTGAAAACAATACATCAAAATACTGTGATGTCAACTGAGGAGCACGATTTTTAGAACATTTTGGTTCCTTCATGGTATTTTTGTTTGCCTCACATTTTCTACTATAAACACACTTCAATGTATGATCTAGTGAATAAATTCAGAGAAAAGTAAGCAGAAGGAGTTGGCTTTTTGGTAAAATGAGATGAGGTTACTGAGATGCCTTGTAAGCTGTATCTCAATCCTTCTAATGCTGTTCTCTGAATAGAGAAGGGAGCTGCTTGTCATGAGCATTAGACTAACAAGTGGTGCAGCTTTCTGCATTGGTGCGGCTAAAGCGGCATGAGCAGCAGGCAGCCTTTCCCGGCCTCACTGCTATAGCCTAGGAGCCTCTGAGGTGAAGGAAGCACACCGCAGGCTCGTGGGCACAGCACAGCTCTACGCAAAGGATAAGAGGCAGACCTGGGATTCAATTTCTTGTCTCTCATTTTCCTTTTCGAGCTTGGAACCAAAACCAGGCCTTGAACATGTTAAGCACATGCTCCAACACTGAGCCCCATCTCAGGCCCTAGAGCTAACTTCTCAGTCCAGACTTCATGCCAGCTGGAGCCTGAAAAGCCCAGACCACTCTCCATCACTTGTCCGGCTCAGTAAGTCTACAGAAAAGTCCCCAGCAAACAGGGGGACTTGACCATTGTCCTTTCACCCTTCAAAGATCTCCATGTCAGCAAGTATCCCTGCTGATTCACAGGTGGGTTCACTCTGTTGGGAGCCTTGGCAGGTAAAACCCAATGTTTAGGAATTCATATTCCCATATGCCCCTTCCCAAGTGTGAAGGAATCCATTTAACTGTAACTGTAAATAATTTCATCTTATTGGGCTGAGTCTAGCTGTATATACTTGTTAGGGGGAAAATGCTTTCAAGACTGTAGACTCCGTCTGTAGTGTGACATTCACGCAGTTTGTAGCGTGACGCTCATTTGGTCTGTCGTGTGACACTCACTAGGTCTGTCGTGTGACACTCACTAGGTCTGTCGTGTGACACTCACTAGGTCTGCAGTGTGACACTGTCTGTCGTGTGACACTGTCTGTCGTGTGACACTGTCTGTCGTGTGACACTGTCTGCAGTGTGACACTGTCTGTCGTGTGACACTGTCGTGTGACACTGTCTGTCGTGTGACACTGTCGTGTGACACTGTCTGTCGTGTGACACTGTCTGTCGTGTGACACTGTCGTGTGACACTGTCGTGTGACACTGTCTGTCGTGTGACACTGTCTGTCATGTGACACTGTCTGTCGTGTGACACTGTCTTGTGACACTGTCTGTCGTGTGACACTGTCTGCAGTGTGACACTGTCTGTCGTGTGACACTGTCGTGTGACACTGTCGTGTGACACTGTCTGTCGTGTGACACTGTCTGTCGTGTGACACTGTCGTGTGACACTGTCTGCCGTGTGACACTGTCTGCCGTGTGACACTGTCGTGTGACACTGTCTGCCGTGTGACACTGTCTGCCGTGTGACACTGTCTGTCGTGTGACACTGTCGTGTGACACTGTCTGTCGTGTGATACTGTCGTGTGACACTGTCTGTCGTGTGACACTGTCGTGTGACACTGTCTGCCGTGTGACACTGTCTGCCGTGTGACACTGTCTGCCGTGTGACACTGTCTGTCGTGTGACACTGTCGTGTGACACTGTCTGTCGTGTGACACTGTCTGCCGTGTGACACTGTCTGCCGTGTGACACTGTCTGCCGTGTGACACTGTCTGTCGTGTGACACTGTCGTGTGACACTGCCTGTCGTGTGACACTGTCGTGTGACACTGTCTGTCGCGTGACACTGTCTGTCGTGTGACACTGTCGTGTGACACTGTCTGTCGTGTGACACTGTCTGTCGTGTGACACTGTCTGCCGTGTGACACTGTCTGCCGTGTGACACTGTCTGTCGTGTGACACTGTCGTGTGACACTGTCTGTCGTGTGACACTGTCTGTCGTGTGACACTGCCGTGTGACACTGTCTGTCGTGTGACACTGTCTGTCGTGTGACACTGTCGTGTGACACTGTCTGCCGTGTGACACTGTCTGCAGTGTGACACTGTCTGCCGTGTGACACTGTCTGTCGTGTGACACTGTCTGCAGTGTGACACTGTCTGCAGTGTGACACTGTCTGCAGTGTGACACTGTCTGTCGTGTGACACTGTCTGTCGTGTGACACTGTCTGTCGTGTGACACTGTCGTGTGACACTCACTAGGTCTGTCGTGTGACACTGTCTGTCGTGTGACACTGTCGCGTGACACTCACTAGGTCTGTAGTATGACACTCAGGCTTTTTAGAAGGGAAGGTATGGTGACCCTCTATGACACTGATATTGTTTCATACCCAGGACAAAGTCACATTTAGGACTTTTCTCCTGCAGCTATCACCTGCCAAGACTAATAAATAGTAGAGAAGTAACTCTTAAGGATCTAGCGTCTAAGAAAACTCCCAGGTATCTGTGTGTCCTCCTGGAAGATGGAGAAAAGCCTACTCCTATCTGATACTCAGGATTAATCCATTAGTATCAGCGTGGCATCAAGCCCTCATTTGTCAATCTTACACATGCACGTTAGAGCCTTCCCTTCCTTCTCTGTAGCTAGGTCTCACAATGAGGCCCTGGCTGGCCTGGAACTCACCATGGAGACTAATCTGGTTTCTGACTTGTGACAATCCTCCTGCCCCTTGAGAAGTGCTAAGGGATCACTGACGTGTGTCACCGCACTCAGCTGGTGCTGACAGTTCAAGTGCAAGCCTGGCTGATGAGAGATAAGTCCATACATCTCCAACATTACTCTGTTGTATTAGAAGGAGACAGGTTCCCACTGACCTGATTCGGCAGCCTCTGAACATGCCCGTGTCTACAAGGTAAGGGCAGACCAAAGTTGTTTTAATTCCATCCTTTTCAGCAGCCTTTAGCTCATGGCTCAGAGATTCGTGAAAACCCACAACTCCAAATTTACTGGCACAGTAATCCTGAGTAAGAGGAGAGAGAACAGAAATGCTAAGTCTGTGCACAAGCTCCCAGCTGATGTGCAGCTTCCTGGTGCTGTCTGGTTAGACGTTTACTATGAAGGTTACAGGTGACGAAGCCAAGACAAGGAAGCTGTCTTCAAGGACATATATCTGATGTGGTTCAGAGCAGAAATAGCATCTTCCAGGCAACAACAGAACAGAAGAATGCTTTTTGCCACATCAACCAAGTATCATGTTACTTTGGGGGAAGTCACTGCAAAGGGTTCTATGAAAGCTAAAAGGCTGGAGTGAAAAAATGCAGGGAGCTTCTCTTTGAAGTGCCTGGAAACCTTACAAATGGCCTCTTGTTTAGCGAAGGAGACTGAAAAACCTGTTTGTTACCAGGAGAACAAAGATAAGTTAACTTGGGCTATAAGCTGTTAGGATCTGAAGTTAAATAGCAAGAGCCATATCTTCTGAACTTCAAACACAACTTGAGAGCATATGATATAGGAGTATTTGCGTATCTGCAAGAAGCGGCGTTTCGAATTTTCCAGGCATCTATAGCCAAGTCTTAGGGAACAATGTGTGGAGATGTTTTATAATCTCAACCCAGCTGAGAACGGGTTAAGAAGCTGAGATCTACACACTCATAGAGCACCTGCCCCTGGCCATGGCAGTTCACCTTTGACCTCACTTATCCGTTCTCCCCACATTGCCGTGCCGCTCTATGGGTCCATTCTCAACCCTGTACCTTCTACATCCAGCAAGGCTGCTGAGGAAAATGGGCTCCGTCCCTGCCCTGTCTTCTGGGTTGTGACAACTTGGCAAATTGGTATTGGTAAGTTTACAGCCAAGGAGAACCCCTCCTCCGCAGCTGGCCTGTTTTAGAGGTGTGGTAGCAGGTCTCTTGTGATGTGAGAAGGAAGGAAATGCTTTAGAGCTGACAAACCTCAACTCCAGCAGTGCTGAACAACCCCAAGGAGCTCGCGACCGTCACAATGTGGCCATGATTAATCTCCAGCATCGTGGGAAGAAAGGCCTTAGTGGTCTGAAAGAAGCAAGATGTAAGCTTTAGAATTGACATGTCACATCCCCTCTGAAGCCCAGATCACAGGACAACCTCAGAGCTGTAAAAATGACATCTCCCAGTTCATCTGAAAACATCTTCCAGCTATCAAAGAGAGACCTTTATTCTTAAGTGTCTGGCTAACTTAGCGCCATAGCATTGCCCTGCTAGGCCAGCTGTAAGCCGGGACCAACAAAGCTGTAACCCAAGAGCTTTGGGGGCTAATGTCCAGAGATGAAAAGAAAGTCATTAGGAGAAGGTTCTTTATCACCTTTCGAGTGATAGAGATCTGCTAATCTGAACCACTCCTGGGTCACAGGGCCTTCTCCTGTCATGCTCCGTGGCTCAGCTGTGTTCTGGTCTATGAGCAGCTGCCAGCCTGCCCACCAGCAGGTGCCTCACAACAATGTTTCCAAGGTGGCAGATCCATGAATGAAGAGCCGTCCTAGCACTCTGCAACACCTAAGGTTTACAGTCTAAGAGACGAGCAGGAGGTAAGGTACTTTAGAACATAAACACTGACAAAGCTCAGAGCCATTTTAGTGAAAAAATAGTGTCATGGTGTGAATGCCGCACTGCTGGGAACCCAGAGGAACCCGAAAGACCACAGTCCACTGTGGAGCACATGCAGGGTCTTCCCACAAAGGCAGAAGTCCACCCCTCAGGGTAGCAGATGATAGAGCAGGCCCACAACAAGGTAGCAAAATCAGACATTGCATAGGCTTCTTATTAAACTACTGACTCCTGTCTCCAAGACATAGGCAGTATTTAAACAAAAAGATCCCTTGAATTACTTAAGATGATCTATAAACCATCCCACCAGGCTCCCAACAGTTTTATAACCTGCTTCTTAAAAGAAAGCAGCGAAGAGCAATCTGTCTACTGTTGAGTTATGGTCTACTTCCAGCACCGGTCCCCATGATTTATGAACTTACAAGACAAAACACTACACAGCCTCCTCTGAGAAGAGCTGCGTTCCATTTCAGACACTTTCCTGCTGAGGTATCAGAGTCTGCGCACGCATTTCTAGTGCTTAGATAACTTGTGTGCACAAGATCAAAAACAGTGGTCCCATTAATTCTGAAGCTTTCCACACTCCAAGGGGCAGTTGCCAGATGAATCTTCAAGTGACTCAAGGTCTTGCCCAGACTGTTTCCCGCATCATCACAGAGCACCCATCCCCCAAACGACATCCCATTTGCTTGGGGCTCTTTTGGAACCCATGCCAAGCTCACTCTCATCTGCCAGCATTCCTGTCCTATAGAAACCGAAGTGTAACATTCATTACTCATTTACCTTGTTTTTAAATGAGTTTCAAATGCTCAACATCACTGGAATCTTCAATAATAACTTTACTAAGTTTTTTTTTTTTTTTTTTTTCGAGACAGGGTTTCTCTGTGGCTTTGGAGCCTGTCCTGGCACTAGCTCTTGTAGACCAGGCTGGTCTCGAACTCACAGAGATCCGCCTGTCTCTGCCTCCCGAGTGCTGGGATTAAAGGCGTGCGCCACCACCGCCCGGCTAACTTTACTAAGTTTTAAAATTCCTATAATTCTTTATTTATTTTAGTCTTTGAGTATGTGATATCAGAGATTGAACCCAAAGAATTATGTGCACACCACTCAAAATACAGCCCCAGGTCATGTGGTTTCGTATTGTTCTAGACCAGCTTGACTTTGTCTACACCCTAACATATCATTATGTATTTTACAGTGTTTTGATTCTGCTTGTCTTATACTTGTCTGGCTATCCCAGACAAGCTCAAAGACATAGCTCAGTCAGTCTTACAAATACTGGAGCCAAATCCTTCTCATACCACATGGACCAGCGCACTGTTGCTGTCCGGAACAGAACACCAATGCTTTGGTTTCACTGTTTCTCTGGAGTAGTAAACAGGAGCAAGGCAAATCCGATACTAATAATTACTTTGGTCAGTTGGCATTCCAGGTCACTTAAGGGCTCAACTTCAGGCTCTATAACTTACATGCAGTGGTTATTCCACAGAACTGAGGTAGAGGAGTTTGCAGGAGCACATACATTTCGAACTAAAGTAGAAGGTATGAAGTCTTAATAGTTACATCTCCTGAACGTCTAGTTAAGACTAATGCCTGCAGATTAATTAAAGGGTCTCTCATTGAGTGGCCAGACAGACTGAGTGGCGAACACCAGGGATCCATCTGTGCACCCTGCCAGCAGCAGCAGACTTAAGATCCACACCACCATACCTGGCCTTTATTGAGTGCTGGGGATCCAAGCCCAGGATCTTAATGCTTGTATAAGCAACACCTTATCAACTGAACATCTCCCCAGCTCCAGGGAAACATCTTCTTAACCTTCATCTGAGGTCACTTCTAGGGACTTGTGAGCCAACCTAAAAACTTACCTTAAGCTGAAAGGGAACTTACTATCCCAAATCTGCTGAACACTCCAGCTTATCCTGGCCCACCTCAAGTGTGCCCAGAGCACTTGTGTAAGCCTCCAGCCGGTTACAAGTGCAGAGCGACTGCAGCGCCTGACGCTAGTCCAGGGAAAGACCAAAATTCAAGGCACAGTTCCTTCTGCGCATATTACCATTTCAAATCATCACAAAGTCAAAGGAACCTAGTCACACCGTTCTGAGTTGAAGGGACTGTCTATATTAAGTTTGCCTAGTGTTGAAAGACAGGGATAAATTTAGTGCCTTTTAAACTTTTTTGTTTTAAAAGTTCTTAATGCGGGTAAGTACAAGGACTTGATATTAAATGCTAAGAAACGGCACAGTCTAAAAAGCCAGGAAGATTTTGGTCTTCTTGCTTTGGTGGCCATGTTCAGCAACTGGGCTGACTGAGAACCCATTCACACCAGAGTAGGTGAGATTCTGATAACCGCTAGGCCATATGTGCTAAGGGCCTGTCTAGAGGCATTAAGTAACTAACCCAGATCCCCAGCACAGAACAGGGCAGGTGACAAGTTCCCAAGGTTGTGACAAGGTCTCAACTTTAATTTGTTGCAAAGTTCTGAAACTGATTAATGTCCCTTCCTCCCTCCAGGAGGGAGTCTGGTAATATTAATGTATCCACTTGACAGGCACTCCCCCGACATCTAGTATTGGCAGGCACTATGTAGGGACCTGGCCAAGCAGCCATTAATGAGCCATTCCTCCACTCCTGTCTTTGAGCACAACTCCACACTCACCTGTGCATCAGTGTTTAAGTCAGCTCGAGTTTACCTTTTGCATAAGACGGTGCACAGTGTCAAAACAATGTGATTTGGGTCTAATTTTACTCTGATGCCCTTGGTCCATCTCACCCACCTGCAATACTGTCTGGAAAGCGAAGGTACTCTGTGTTTAAGGGAGTGAACAGAAATAAAATCCAAATATGGCCAAGTAACTGGTCTTTATGTGTGCACTACCGGAGAACTGTTTGAGTGGCTAGTAACAAGACACGGAGAGGAGTGTTTTGTTCAGATACAAACCTCTTTTTAGTCTTAGTCTTTACAGTGGCAGTGGTCAATATTCAATTAGAAACGCATGACTTCTTTACCTAACAGTTACCTCTGAATGAAGGAATTGGAACGTGCCTTTGTATTATTTACATTTTAAGACAAAGGCTCATATTTTTCATTTAGAAAGTGTCTAGTTGTAGGTGAAGCTATAAACCACTACACTCCTGACGATACGCATTACAGTTTGACCCTAAGAGGTGAAGCCATCTGAGGCCGCACAGTCTCCCTGCAGGTTTCGGGCCGTTTGAATGAAACTCTTACCAGGCCTTCCCCTTTGCGAGGCAGAGACAAGCCTGAGGTACTCAGTACCCATGTCAGGATCACTCCAGTGCCCGCTGACGTCACACGTGACTGCGCACTGCGGCCGTGGGCAATTACAGCTGCCACGAGCAACCCCACCTGAGGTATGAGCTTTGCTAGTAGATAAAGTTAGACCCTTACTTTGTAAGAAAAAATACTGCAAATGGGTGAGTAGAAACCATGGCATTTTCAGGAATTTTCTGAAGTAAGCTTTCCTGTCTGATTCTTCTTGCCCTCAACAGTCTGCTAGATGACATCTGAGATAGCACAGTATACTCCGTCCTTGACACAGCTTGACAGCACAAAGAAATCTGGCACTTGGCAATGAATTATTAATGTGCACAAATATTGTAGCATGTGTGAGGTGGAGACCAGCGAAAGGTGAAGTGCTAGTTGCCATGACACCAGTCAGTTCAAGCTAAGGTTCATCATCTTCACCTTTGTCTCAAAGAGTCTGAGCCTCGCGCCTAAGTGACTTCAGGTATGAACTTGAGCATGTTCTGCATGTGTGCTCTCAAAAGGGACAACTCAGAAAGTCGCTGACCATCGAGCGTGTTGAGACAAGAGGATCTAGATGGGGTCTTTCAGGCTGTGTAGCCAGGCCTGATGCCCACAGTGGTTGCTAAGGTTCCCTAGGTCCTGATTTTAATTCAGACAACTGTACCCTGCTTTCTCTTCTCGCTCACACGTCTGAAAGAATGGAGGAAAAAAATCTAGTGTCCATCAGAGAAGCCACAGTTGGTCACAGCACCGGCAACTCTTAGTTGGGACCTAGGACTGTTTAGTGTTTGTGTTCCCCGCTCCCCTCCCCATTTGTAAAAATGAAAACTTTAATTGGCATTCCATGTTTCCGTCGGCACAGTTCCTCAAGGTCCCTCTTCAGAGCTCTGGGCACTCTGGAAGGAACTGTTAAGGGTCCCGTTTACACTTTGAGCAGGGTCTTCCTAACAGAGAAGCAAGGGGCTGCATAGGGACACTACATGCTGCAGCTTGAGCAATCTTTGAACGCTTGAGCAATATGGTGAAGTTACACCAAATTAACTTCCAACAGCCCGCTGTCCAGACTGTTCTTGGTGCTCTTAATGACAGACTGGGCAGCATGGAGCCTGCAGCTGCAGTGTCAGAACCAATCAGGCTCAACGAGAGGATGTGGAAAGATGTGGAACCCGGCAAAGGCTAACTTCTGCCATCTGGAGAC